TACCGGGGCTCGGTACCCATCCCTAACCCTGACAAATAACTGCAGTCGTAAAAGGATATAGGAAAAGGTTTGCATTTTAAACATAACTTAGGTTAATCAATCTCAATGAAAGCTGTAATAACAACGTTCTAACAATAGAGTCATATTTAAATAACGTCGAAAGCCAAGGTTGGCTTTACCATATCCTTCTTTTTCTTTGGATTTATCCTTTTTTTTTTTTTTTTTTTTTTATAAATTGCATGCTCCTCTGCCAAAGCTTCATTACTGAGTTTCTGCTTTTTTCCTAACATGTGTGAGGGACATAGATGGATGCTTTTGTTCATGTGCTTGTAGTTTGTGCTTTTTTATGGGTACTAAGTATTGACCTTTATGACCATTATATCCACCAGCAGGGCAGCCTGCACAGTGTAACATGCAAAGAACTTAACAATGCTGTTATCTAAGCCTAACACAGCATCACCCATAAGATGTAGACACTACCTTATTTCCTTGTGACCATGAGTAGTGATGTTGTCTGAAAACAGTGTAAGGATTACTGGCAAACTTAATTGCCCCTCTCATAGCCTCAGTGACATACCTACTACTGTACATCCTGCAACATCCTAGCTTAGTCTCTGCACAGGTGCTCTCCCAAAATAAAGCATGTCCCAGTGAAGTTGGATTGTACCTATTGTAGGATCTTGCAATGACATTGACTTTAAGGAAAGGCGTTAACTTTAGACAACATAGATCTCCTCGAGGAAGTAAAGAGCAGTTCTGATGTGTCACTGTCATTCATTTGGCGTGACGTGACTGAAGCCGACCTACAGCTGCTCGTGTAAATACAGGCTTTGACACAGAGCCAGAGTCAGCGACGCGTTGTCATCACTACCTCAGCGAGATAGCAGCGGCCATGCTGACGGAGAGGAAAACACACTGACCCAGTGTAGTCAGACAGAAAGCTAACGGAGTATAAAACATTGGGACCAAAGGCTACGTCTCAGTTCAATTTTGAACACTTAAAACCCATAAAACTCAGGATGAGACACGGCAAAGTCCAACAAGAACACAACCACTATCTCTGCAGTTCAAAAACTTGAAAAATCACATGACAGGATATCACAATCACAGCAAGACTATCCAAGTTTTTTTACAACACTGGAAAACTTCTGAACACTTCTAAGTGTTTCAGGTCAAAACAATCTGTTGTATGATTTAACATGCACAACAAGCCGAGGAGATTATTAAATTAGATAGGAATGTGTTAGATTAAAAGGAATTTAAATTCTTAAGACAACATGTTGTAGCAGTGTCTGTATTAGTAATTATATATGTATGATAGTCATGCAAATCTTTACATTTCGTAGGTCTTTGTTGTTATTGATCATTTGATGCCTTACATTTCAAAACAAGCTAATCTTTATTATCTCGAATGAATGCAAGCATTGTGTCCATTTCCTTACCAATAATACAGTTTACAAAGATAAAGATAGACAAAGATAACAGCTGTATACTTCTGATTTTCTAAAGCCCAATGTGATGTCTTTATATGTCTTATTTTACACGTTTTGAATGCATTACTGTATTCCACTGCCCTAATGCTAGTTTTCCCTTGGTAGTACCACGGCCTCCTCAATCAACGAAATGCTTCTCTCGTCTTCAGACAAAAAGCTGCTTACTGTGGATCACCATGAGAGCATCAAAATGTGCACCAGACTGCATTTAGGTACAGTTTGATTTCCTGTGCCAAGCCACTCCCCTGATGTGTCATTAGAAGTGGACAGATGGGAAACCCAATCCCCCAATCGCTTAACCCGATAACATTAAAAAAATGTGGAATTGATGGCATCGAAGGATACGAAACGAGTGTATCACTAGTATATTATATTGGATGTATGTGTATCTAAGTTATTATGAAGCCAGTACTGTGTGTGCAACATAAAACGGGAAATGTGTCATCTGTACAGTACAGTAGTAAATTGTTTTAATAGAAAAACTAAAACCATGTGAAACTACATTTTACAAACGTTCTACAGGGCTTTTTAAACTGGCAGGAAGTCAGTGTATTTCTCAGTTTACTGAACTCACAGAGGACTGTACTTTCGGTTCCTCAGTCTAAGTGGAACCACACCCAAATTTTAGTTAAATCCGCAGCATTCCTAGAAACTTAACCAGCCCCCTTTCTGTCAGACAGTGTCCTTTCTATTGCATGGTGAATTCTGACAAAGTGAATGGGAATAGCCCACAAAAAACAAACCTTAAATCAAACAATATCAGAAGTTAGTAGGACACAGGGAGTTCAATCTCAACAGATTAACAACACATTGCTAATCGTTCTTCCTCTTTGTCCATATAATCAGTGCAAACTATTGTGTCAGTTGTATATGCTTCTCATTGCTATATTATATTGTAATTTGTTGTAGTGTAAAACCTTGTTTATACACTGTGCGAACGTAATTAAAATGTTTTTATTTTATTTATTTAGGTAGGTATTCATAATGTAACAATTAGTCAACTAACGTACAGATTGGTATATTAATTGAGACTGTTCTATATTATTCTGTATTTAATAATGTTTGAAAATAGGTATTTTTTTACTGAGAATATGTATATATTGTTTTTTACATTATTGATGTTAAGTATATCTTTATTTTATTCAAGTAATGTTGTAATTCTTGTAGATTGACTGTCCAAATGCTAATAAAGTATCGATCCATCTATCTATATACGAAGACATAATTGTACTCCCCAGCCTGTTGAGTCCACCGCACTGACAGGAGCGGAACAAAAACGTAACATAGCTACATATGGAGCCACGATTTTACTACTATTATTACTTAGCTTTCATGAAATGACCCTAATGTTTGAAAAAGGGTGTTAACTGTACACTGGAGATTAACCGGTGAAGCTGACACGTCGCTATTCTGTTGTTAGCAGGCTAGCTTAATTTAGCTCGGCTCACTTTAGCAGACGAATCATCCGATTATCTTGACGGGGAGCCTGAAGATTAATTTAAGAAAAACGCTAAAATAGCAGTATTTAACAACATAATACATAATAGACACAGCAATAGAGTGAGAGTTGATGTGTTATTGTGTCAGTTGACATTTAACTGTTGGTGTCGTTAATCTTCACTGGTAGCATAATGCTAGCCGTTATCATCCCTGCTCCCAGTTCCTATTCGTTTAGGTTAGCATCTAAGCTAGCTACTTAGCTCTGCTGATTAGGCCCAGTTAGCTCGAAGCTAAGACGTTGGGAGCTAACTGCCGTTGGTAACAGGTTGCAAATCACTTCCTGCGCTGATAAACAACAGCTAGAATACTTTCTTACCGTGAGTCCGGTGCCCAACACGATAACGTCGTACTCTTCATTCATTTTTCAAGTCTTTTACGACTCTGCTGCTGAATATCGAGAAAGAAGAAAATGGAGATCAACGGGTCTGGAAATGAGAGGGGCTGCGGCTCAGCGTCAGGCGCCTCTGGTGGGCGGGGCCTGGGCCTGTCAATCAAATGAGAGGCAGGGAGGCAAGAGGGCAGACAGAATATACTTCACTCGTATTTATTTGATATGCTTTAGTTGTCTGCATGGGCGTCACTTTGTTTGAAAAAGTGGTGGGGATAATTTCTCCAGATTTAACATCAGCATAGCGGAAGACAACATATGTCCCTCCCTTGGGTGTAGAACCTGAAGCACCTGCATGAAAAACCAATGCACAGACCTCTGGACATCCACATAGTGTTTTTAAATAATGAACCCCCAACTATAGGTCTTGCTGTGATCCCCGGGCGCCGTACATAATGGCAGCCCACTGCTCCTAACACTAGGATGGGTCAAATGCAGAGAAACCGTTTCGTTACTAGTACCTGTACTACGTAATATGACAATAAGTTGAATCTTCTTCTTCTTCTTCTGTGATTTGTACCTTTATGCACCAACAAGCACACAGGTATGGAGGACAGAACATGACACAAGTCAAAATGTAACAAAGGCATAAATACAGGAATAAATGAAGGAATAAAAACAGAAAGGAACACAAAAATACAAGAATAAATAAATGTGAAAAAAAACTGAAAAAAATAAATGTGGGAATATACAGGAATAAACAAATACAAGAATAAATAAATAAAAATAGAGATAAATGTATAAATAAAAAAATAAAAGTTGAAAATAAAACAGAACACACATTATATATCTGTGTAAACTGTAAACTGTAAATATCGTCTCTCGACTTAATAGACTTTTCTTTTTTGGTCGGATCCAGTCAGCTGACATGGGAAAAATCATGTGACCCAGCTGCCGTTTTGACAGGAAGAAATGTCCAAACTTTTCCTGTTTACTGTCGTGGTTTAAATCTCTGTTTTGAGGCGTGTTACAAGACATATTTTTCCAGAAATGTCTCCTTAACACACTGCCCGTTTATTCAGTGTATTAATGAGGATGTTGGATAGCAAAGGTGTGTGTGATGGCCGGGTTTCAGAGCTCCAGAGGCTATACCTGCTCCTATTCTAGAAGAAATTCATCATGAGGAATTCCACCTAGAAATGGAGTGAAACAATGGGAAATGCAATGTAGTCTCATTTCACTGTTTCACTGTGGACTAGATTAATGATTGACACAGCTGTATAGTAAACCCAGTGACAGTCATAAAGCCTCTGTATTACTCACCCAATTCTGCTTCGATAGGATTGGATGTTATTGGCCTTACAGTCAGCCAGCAAGGCCTTTAAACACATTAATCTGTCAGGAGCCTAAAACTACATACAATATATTTCATACACATTTACATGGATGCACTAGTATTTATACATAATAGAGTTGGTGTCAAAGCTTAGATTTGTTCGTATCAATTCAGCGGGCACATGTTTAAACCTCACTGCAAAGCACTTTCTTAAAATATATTTACTTATATGCAGCACCATTATGGCCTTTTTGTAAATATAAAAGACTGAAGCAAGACTTCCATTCAATCCATGTGATTAAGGTCCCTAAATGTTGTTACTCAAGAATACACAACACAGCAATCTTGACTTTAATCACACTCTTTTAATAAATATTGAATGTAACAGAACCAGTAGCAGCATCTGTATGGTATTGTCTATGATGGGTCTGGTATTCCACATTCAAACACCTGCACTACGTCTGGTTTCTTCGCATGCTGCCGTGCAGATGTGCCAGATGTGTCCTCTGAGTCTTTGAGTCCCAGCTGCAGGAGCGTCATGGCGGCATCTGAGCGCTGCCCGATGCACGCCATGTGAAGAGCTGCCAACAGAAGAGAGCACAGGATGGTGTTCAACAGAGCTGCAAAGATTTGACGATTTATTGATTTGTTGTTCTATAATCAGTTAACGGTTACAGTGATTTTTCATTAAAAAAAATTGGTAAAAAATGCGGTTCTCATCCTCTTAAATGTACCTTATTTTCTCCGTTTGATATAATATTAATGTAATATCATTGGGGTTTGTGGACTGATAAGACAAGATATTGAAATATCTCACCTATACGTTAATGAAACTTTATCACTATTTTCTGGCATTTTACAGACCAAATAATAATGAAAAAAATAAAAGTAGCAGTCCTAGTCGTAAGGGGATCATACTGATATTTATTTATACTTTAATTCTTTTTATTTTGACCTTCCAGGAAGCCATTGGTTTGCATAATATTTTGTTTTATTTTGCTAAGCCTTAGCTGTTGCACAAGTAAATAACACATATTGCATTATTCATAAAGTAGTCTTTTTCAGAAATGTTTTTCATAGTTTTTGTTAACTTTGCCGTCATATTGACTATAAGTAAGCAAGGAGGATATTTGAGTGTACATTTAAAAAAACTAGAAATGTTAGCCTTGAAGCCTCTAAGGTTGTAAAGATATTTATGGTTTGAAACCCCATTTTCAGGGTCTTCTTGTTTGTTAAAAACCACGGTAGCCACTGTAGTCGAAGTTTAAAACTGCTTACCAGTTCTTCCCTTTTTGTCCCGAACATGAAGATCAGCCCCGCACTCAAGCAGTGTTTTTATAGTAGACGTGTGGCCCTCCTGAAAAACACAGATTAAAATAGGAAAGACATTTTATCTCCACGTAGCCCCAGCTGGGGAAGAAGTGCCCCTTTAGGTACAACAACCCCTAAAGGTATTCACTAATCTGACCTTTGCAGCGTAATGCAGGGCGGTGAGCTGGATGTCAGTCGTCCTCTGGTTCACGTCTACATTCAGCTCCTTCACCAGGAAGCGCAGCGCCTCGTTCTGCCCGGTAACAGCAGCCTGATGCACCGCCTGAGCCCCGACACTGTCAGCTGCTGCTGGAGACGCCTGCAGAACACATTTACTGTTATTTTGTTGTAAGATAACAAAAAGAAAAACACATTAATAAATGTTAATGCGAAAATAATCTGAAGCCTGGGGAACAAAGGATCAGATAAAATGTGCGACTCTGATCTTATTGCAATACTAAAAAAAAAGTTTCTAGAGGGCCCTAATATTATAGAGAGTAAGTAAGTAAGTAAGTAAGTACAATGTATTTATAAAGCGCTTTTCCCAGACTTAGTCACAAAGTGCTTGACAAAAAAATCATACGAATCCTAAAAGATTAAATGACCACACAAGCCACGTGTTAAGAAGTCCTAAAAACACTATACATTGTGAAAAACACAAGTTACCCAAACGCCTGCCGAAACAGGAATGTCTTTAGATGACATTTAACAGAGTCTACAGAGTCAGCGGACCGTAGGTGTGAGTACTTGCCCAATTTAGCAGAAGCTGATTTAAAAAGGCCTTTTTTTTTTACCTGGTGTTTTTCTAAAAGCAGCCTGGCTACAGAAATGTGTCCGTTCCTCACGGCGTCCATGAAAGGAGTCGCTCCACAGCTGTCAGGACTGTCGGGGGGGTAAACACATCTGGGAGAAAACAGAAGAGACAGTCAGACAAGTGTGAGACCTGCAATATTATACTGTATGTATTAGGGGTGGTGGAAATAATCGATACAGCATAGTATCGCGATACTTTGCGTGGCTATATTGTATCGATATTTTATTATATCAACTATTCATATTGCAATTCCAAATTAAAGTTTTTGGTAACAATTGCTTTTTCAACCCACTAGAAGATGGGGCTGAGCTTTTTCTTGTGCAGTCATGACCATGGGTAAAGTCAGTGGGATTGGCAGGAAGTTAGTCAAACAAAGATGGAGTCAGCGGAGAAAGATATCAGAAATGCAATATATCGCAATATATCGTATCCCAATACTTAGCATATCGTAGAATCGCAATACTATCGTATCGTGGCTTAAGTATCGCGATAGTATCGTATCGTGGGGAGCCTGGTGATTCCCACCCCTAGTATTTATATCCCAAAAAAGGGGTGGAAAATGTAAGTAAACAAACTATCTTTTCAGCTTGGCTACTTACATATTTGTGTGTTGGTTTTAAATCATAATATTTAACTTTCTAATGTTTTCTATTTGTTTTATGTGAAATATTCCCCATACAAAATGTTTACATACCTCTCCAGCAAGATGCTAACAACCTCCTCACAGCCGTGCATCGCTGCATGATGAACAGAGAGAGTACTGGTTATAATCTGACAATGAACACAAAGATCATTCAAGTAACAGGAGAGAAAAACACAAATTTGACTCAGTGATCACCTGAAACACACATTTAGAGATTTGGTGAAGCGAAACCAGAGGACGCTTTACCTTAAACAGATGTTATTAATGTAGTAAAACCACAAGGGGAAGTGTTAGGAGAAGTGTGAATTCATTTAGGTAGAACTTGACTTCATGACAGAGACGTGCTACATGCTACAAGATGTAATGGTGTAAACCAGAGCACGTCTTACCTGCAGTGTGTAGAGGTGTCCTCTGCGTCTTGCTCTCCGTCCTCCAGATGTCCGGCCTGATAAGAAGCAGCTGTTTTATGACCAGAGGATCCCCCTCCCTGCAGGCGATGTGGAAACAGTTCCAGCCATCTTTGTTTCTCAGAGCCGGGTCAGCACCGAGACTCAGCAGCTCCTCGATCACAGAGAGGTTTCTCCTGGTGCAGGCCATCATCAGGGGGGTCCTGAGAGAGAAGAGAGGCTGAAACACTCACAGAACACAGGGGTTGTTGTTGTTTTTCTTGTAGATATAGTTTTTGTTTGTTTGTTTGTTTGTTTGTTTGTTCACCATGTAAAGCGGCCTTGGGTCCCTTGAAAGGCGCTATACAAATGTAATCTATTATTATTATTATTATTTTACAGGAAATACTGTATAAATATCTATAAATAGAAGAATCACAATCACATTTCTATATAATTGTCTGTGTCAAATCTACATTTTGTTCCCTCTTTAGTTTAATTTGGACTAGACAGCATCAAATATACTGCACATTTTTGTCGTGACTTTTACACTTTTACATCCCATAATAAGTGATTTTTCTTGCATCACAGAAAAAGTCATTACAAATGTGAATGCAAATAATGGAAAACAACATTTATATTAATATTCACGTCTCATATCGTTCAATTTGACATATTTATTAAGTTGATTTAGTAGATTTGACATATATCACCTTGTTTGGACAGTGAAATAGTCAGCAGGATTTGGGATACTGATTAATACAAAATATATTAATTGTGCACTGCAAGAAATCGTTTTGAGTTTAGATGGACAGGATATTGTTTTAAGCTTCTTAAAAATAAAAACAGACCTTTACAGCTTGTTGTTAACTTTGACGAACTCGTACAACACGAGGCACACATTAAGCCACAGTCGATACGAAGAATGCTGCTTTCTTTGTCTCTTCATAACCGTTTCCACTGTATGTTATACACGCGTTTTGTAAATATATATATATATGGATAGTTGCCTGTCTTTAAAAAACAAGTTAAAAAGGTCCTCCTTCGAGCCGGAATTGAACCAGCGACCTAAGGATTTCAGCTTTCCGCCTCTACAGTCCTCCGCTCTACCAACTGAGCTATCGAAGGGAACTGGCATTAAGCGTCGTGCAGTTAGTATTTAAAGATCACAAGGGCGCAATTTCTCCTCGTTTTTTTATTATTTTTGACTCATGTATCCTCACCAGTCAGATTTCTTCAGATTGTCCACTTTGGCTCCTTCACGGAGAAGATAGCTAACACACTCCTGATGTCCCATAGAAGCAGCCTCGTGCAGCGGCCTCTTGTAATCGTTGTTGTAAACATCCACATCCACGCCAACCCGCTTTATTAGATACTCTACAATGTCAAGGTGTCCCTTTCTGGCAGCGTAGTGTAGCAAAGTGTCTCCTGACCGACCAAAGTGTTTATTACTGACTGTCTGAAGAGCCACGGAGCCTCCTAATGTTACCTGTTTCTCCAGGGAGTTTAACTGTCCCTCCTGAGTGAGCTTTACCAGCTGTTTTAAAGTGTTTTCGTCCATGCTGGGTGCAGGTTAAAGGCTGCTGCAGGTAAACAAGGTCACTAACTGGTCAATTCATAGAAAATAGTTAAGCTAGGCTTCTTGAAGACATGCTGGAATACATTGTTTACCAGTTTCTATTGCAGAGTAGGAAGAAATGAAATGGCCAACCATGACCTTACACTGTGACTGCGTTACCAAAAAATAAAGTATAAAAAAAATGCAGAAACAAACTAAATCTATTATGAATATGTTTTAATTATTATTATATAGAAAATGTGATGTTATTTGAAAGTAAATAATGTTTTCGACTTAAAAGACAACGTTTGATACACAAATCTTTATGATAGCACTTATAATTGATAATGAAAGCACACATGTATGTATTAAGTACAAATAATGTATTCATTATGTAATGTATTCGTGTTTATGTACTCAAGTAGAAGAAACTTTAAAAAAGGAATACATCTTAGTCGTCCTTTTCGGCAGACCGGCACCATAGGCATTGTGGGAAATGTAGTTTTTGTGACAACGTGCGATTTGGCTCGTTAAAATAGTCCCAAACTTCTTTAACTCGCTTTTTTCTTCCATGATATTAAAATATAAGTAATCTGCCAAATCGTAGCTTTATACATACCTATGTACGTGTGTGGCAATGCCCCCTGGTTTAAATGAAGCTTATAAACACATCTCTTTCTCTCACATCGGGACTAAAGTCCTTTAAATAACAGCAGAAAAACCGTAGTTTTCAAAGCAGATATAATTAAGTTTTCAGTATAACTGCTGGTTCTGTTAATTTGTGAGCGCTAATCCAGTGTTTGGCAAAATATCAGCAAAGGACTCAGCGCTGGTGAACAAGATGAGTCACATCTGGAGGGAAGAAGGAGAAGGAGAAAAAAAAAGTGGGGGAGACAGAAAAGTGGGATTGTTGGTCAGAGTCTCAGTCCTCAAAGGTTTTACAACATGGACCATGAACAGCAGGAATGAAACTGACCGCATTGCCACCTTCTTTGTCTGGTAGGTACATTTATGATATTGATTGTGCTCCTTATTGATGATTTACACTTCAGACCAACAGGGGCACACCTCCTAATTCATTTATTCTAAAGTGCATTTTAGCGAAAAACAACACAGTTCGTTTTTGTGCATGTCAATGGTCTGCATTGCTTATTTCGACACATGTTTTGTGTATTTTGACCTATTTATGCAGCTTTGTTGTATGTGTTGGACAAGAGAACTTTCTGTCCTTTTACACTGAAAGAAATATTTTCAGGACAATTAAAAAATCTGTCCTTTTAACTTTTCATTTGAAGAACAATTGAAAACAATCTACAAGCTACATGACACAGTTTACTGATGTGTCAAAGCAATTTGTGGGTAGTTTTATGTGTTCTTGCTCTTTTTGTATACATCTTTCTGCCTTGCAGGAAGGGCTTTCCCTTCTTTAAGCTTGTTTGAACACTTATTTGATAGAAACATCAACATTAACAACTTAACTCCAATAGAAATCAATAAAATGTTACAGCATTGTGAAGAGAGTTTCAGATAAAGTAGACTACTTTATCCAGGTTAGGTTTTTTTTGTTGCAGTGGGATGATTTAAGTGGTTGGGTTTGGACCGGACCCACACCCCCTTTACATACACTTACACTGTTATATTGCAACTTTTTAGGAACTTCTGGAAATTATTTATGTATTTAAACTTATCAATGATCCCTGGAAAGAGCAAATAAACTATTGTAAGACAGGAGATAACCTTTTTAATGATATTTAATGTAATATATTTGAGAAAATCTTCAAATTAAGCTTACAAATGGTACAAAACAACAGGAGGATTTGCATCTGTTGGTGCAAAAACACTGACATTGTGTCTATAAATGCATTGAGATAGGATAACATATCACATGTAAATGTGATGCATTGTAATTTAAAGAGTTTCGAGTGGATTACCAATTAATTTTTTCGGCTGCAGACCAGCAGACCAGTTTGGCCTCCAGCATCTGAAGCTAATCCGGTCCAGATGTTTTTGTGCTGCTCTAAACATGTGACAAACAATCTAGAAAGCAATGCATGACTAATTGTCCTGTCCTAGTTTAGTTAGAGTTATCAGGTTTCTAAGGAAGTGGTTAAATGTAAAAAACAGACGTCTACTTAGGGTGTGAAATGAATGAGAAACGAAAAGCGTGTTACTTCCTGCTGAGGTTTAGGCTGACAAAATAATGAGGGCAATGAAAGCCAGATATTGATTATAAGAGGAGATAGAAATGAAAGGATTTTTGAGATGTGGGACGGATAAGATGTGCTTTTTGTCCTTCATTGTTTAAGCATTTATATTCTGTAGCCCTGGCATCAGGAAGGAAGGAACTGGTGGAAGGTTTTAGACAAAATGCAGCCACATGTGTCCGCAGGCCTCAGTGAGTTTACTGCAGGTCAGGTTAGCTGGCAGTTTGTCACAGAAACAAACCAAACTGTATACAAATGTGTGTCCAAAAATATATTTCTGTGTGTCTTTGAAATGAAACATATTTCTCACTGTATTAAATTACAATTTGAGTGTGTGGCAATCTAACCAACCCCTCAAGTAGCCTTAAAGGGGCGCTATTGCGCTTGTATTGCGTGTTCCCTTTCCTCTAGTCAGTTATATAGGTTTGTGTGCATGTAAACGGTCTCCAAAGGCTTAAATTCCAAAGCTTCTATTAGCTAGCCCTCCAACACATTATACGTGATAGGCTAAGGGGCGGGACATCTCTAAGCAGTTGACCAATCACAACAGAGCCGGCCAGCTAACCAATCAGAGCAGACTGGGCTCTGGTTTCAGACAGAGGGTGAAAAGAGGTGCTGCAGCACAGGCAGTATGAGAAAAATAAAGAGCTTTTTGAACATTAAAGCATGGAGACATGTCCCAGTAGAGACACTACATACTGATATACACCTGAACATCAGCAGGAGAGGACTCTTTAAAGTAGAGACACTACATACTGATATACACCTGAACATCAGCAGGAGAGGACTCTTTAAAGTAGAGACACTACATACTGATATACACCTGAACATCAGCAGGAGAGGACTCTTTAAAGTAGAGACACTACATACTGATATACACCTGAACATCAGCAGGAGAGGACTCTTTAAAGTAGAGACACTACATACTGATATACACCTGAACATCAGCAGGAGAGGACTCTTTAAAGTAGAGACACTACATACTGATATACACCTGAACATCAGCAGGAGAGGACTCTTTAAAGTAGAGACACTACATACTGATATACACCTGAACATCAGCAGGAGAGGACTCTTTAAAGTAGAGACACTACATACTGATATACACCTGAACATCAGCAGGAGAGGACTCTTTAAAGTAGAGACACTACATGCTGATATACACCTGCAAATTAGCATATGTCTTCTTTAAAGTGTGTTATATTAGTGTAAATCACATGTGTGTAAGCAGCTGTCAAACGTAGTTTTGTGATTATTTCAGACGTTCACACTAATGATTATCTTTTTCAGCTAAAAGGACCAAGAGGAAGCAGCTTGACAGTTAAATGTCTGTGCAGAAAAACCCTGAATCTTTAGCCATGTCTTTTGACAGTTTATACATGAGGCCTGTCATCTTATTAATAAATATTTCAAACGTTTTACGTCACTTTGAGCTCTGTTGCCAAGCTTCAGTGTCAATACTCCTCAGAAGAAAAGGCAAAATCCTTCAATATGTCATTGTTAGGCCAAGGAATATTTAATCTTTCAAGTTCTCTTGAGTGACTTAATAGCTCTTTTTTTCTGTGTGTTTGCAGCTGTTGTTGGAAGCAACGATGAAATATGGCTCTCCTGAGAAAAGGTAAGTGCATATGTGAATACACAGTAAGGTGTGTTGTGAATGCAAAGTGGCAGGTTTACCGTCTCAGGTTGTAAACATTACGTTGAGGCAAAGAAGCTACGTCTTCTCCAGATTTTATTTGGGTAAAGTCTATGAAAGGAACCCCCAAACTTCCCAGAAGGAAAGCATCTAGCTGGTGTGTGTGTGTGTGTGTGTGTGTGTGTGTGTGTGTGTGTGTGTGTGTGTGTGTGTGTGTGTGTGTGTGTGTGCGTGTGTGTGTGTGTGTGTGTGGCCTAGCATTACTATACTTGTGGGGGACCTAAATCTGTTTACACAGTCACGTGTGGGGACTGGCTTCCCTCATGGGGACATAATGGAGGTCCCCATGAGGGGAATCATTAATTTTAGGGTGAAGACTTGGTTAGGGTAAGGGTTAGGGTTAGGGTAAGGGTTAGGCATGTGTTGGTTATGGTTAAGGTTAGGATAAGTCTCCAGGAAATGCATGTAAGTCAATCTAATGTCCCCTGAAGTGATGTATACATGGTGTGTGTGTGTGTGTGTGTGTGTGTGTGCGTGCTGGGGGAGGGTGTGATGAGGTAACCATATGAGAGGCTGTAAGGAGTATCCAGCCAGTGTGTAAACAGCACTTTGGACTGAATGCAAACTAGTCAGCTACGTAATGGAAACTGGGATTTCCAAAAATATTATGCGTGCTTTCCATTTGTTCAATTTTTTTTATCTCGCAATCCAAATATTTGTGCTAGAAATCATACATCTGCCTCCCAGGGGTCAGTGAGTCCTGAATATCTCAGGTGCAGATGTAGTTATGGCACCTGAAAGGGCAGCCAGACGTGATAAAAGTGTCCGGTGAACGGTTGCAGATGGAGATTTAATCCTTCTTTAGATCTGGTCTGCAATAGATAGTAAACCTTTTCTGATGCTATGAGAAAAAGCATGATCCTATATATCAGTCAACACAGTTTTATGTTGAGGCTAAAGTCCCAGCTTACAGTCTGATTGGATACCACCTCATGTATGTTTGATTCCTCTGTTTCCAGTTAACCAGATCCTGGTGGTGCTCCTGCTGCTCATGGTGTGTCTCCTCTTGCACAGCTCACTGCTCGGAGCCTCGCCTCGACCCAAACCCGCAGGTATTTTCCACACAGGTTATATTTCAATCTTTGTAAGGCAAATTCAATTGACGTTAAACGTGTATTGTGTGTATAAGCCTGATTTCTCTTATTCCTACGGCACCATTGTTGTCCAAAAAACACATACTGTATACTGTCTGTCCTGCTGCCACGAATACTCACTTTATTATGAAATTGTCACTATTTACTCTTCTTCGTCTAACTTTGGTTATAAACAGAGATGGCAAAAGTACACACATCCTTTACTCAAGTAGAAGTACAGATACTCGTGTTTAAAAAGACTCTGGTGAAAGTAGAAGTACTGACTAAACTTCTCTACTCAAGTAAAAGTAAAGATGGGCTTTGAAATGTACTTCAGTAAAAAGTACCCATAACTAGCAGCTGTTTTAAAGAGTACCTGACCTCCCTTTATATTAATAGAACAATAATGTCATTGTTAGCTAATGAATGTTTCCATGCTGAACAACGGCAACATGACAACGTTTTCATTGGTCCCTCTTCTTTAGAGAAGACCAGGAAATGATGGATACACGGATCGTGTTCAAATCAATAGGCACGCAATGACTCTAAATAATAATGATCACGCCACCAAACACACATTCAAACTAAAGGAACCAGCCTGTTTGGGAAATGTGAGAAGTAGAAAGTACAGGTATTTGAGTTCAACATGTAAGAAGTAGAAAGTACAGGTATTTGGGTTCAACATGTAAGAAGTAGAAAGTACAGGTATTTGTGTTCAACATGTAAGAAGTAGAAAGTACAGGTATTTGGGTTCAACATGTAAGAAGTAG